CAGAGGAGCAGGAAGGCTGACGTTTCAGGCCTAGACCCTTCTTCAGACCCTTCTAGGCCCGAAACGTCAGCCTTCCTGCTCCTCTGATGCTGCTTGGCCTGCTGTGTTCATTCAGCTGTACACCTTGTTATCTCTATTATTGATTAAATACATTATTTTACCTATTTTGGAATTGCCATGTACACTGTGATTTTCTGGAACATTACACAAACATGTTTTCATTTGTGCTCAGAATATCTTATCTGTGTAAGAATTAGGCTACAAGGGTTAAATAACAGTTAATTGATTTCTGCGCTCACTATAAGCAGAAATTCTGGCAAACATAGTACATTACAACTGTCTATGTCAACAGAACACCCCAGAAAGGCCACAGGAGTCAGAGGGATTGGGATACAGGGAGATAGACAGATATTGACAAGAAATGGAACAAACACTACCAGGTTAGAATAAGGTTAAACAATCCCTGATTGGATGAATAAGATATTTATCTGGAATGAAAGTATACATTGTTTGTAATGTTTGTATGGACTATAATTGGAATTCTACAATAAGATGTCTACATGTCTGAAATGATACAAAAGTACTGAAGTTTTCTGTATTCCCCAGAATTTATTCTAGCTAGTCTAGAGTATAGTCTCCCTGCATTCAGCTGAAAAAATATTCTTAAACCTATACGCAAACTCTTGTCATCAATCGCTAGAAGTAACACAGCATCTGTAACAAGACACATTCAAGTTTTCTCACAAAGGGTGAATACTCTTACGACCAGGTTAGGAGAGGAAAATGCGTCTTCACCTTTTAACTCTCTCCCGGTCTGTCACAACAATATTTTTTATTTCTTTAAAAATGCAACTGTATCCCACATCAAATAAAGATGTAAGTAATTAGATCTAAATGAAGTAGCCAATTGCAGGATTTTCTTGACTGAAGGAAAGAAGAATTTTATAACTGACTAACCTTGAGATAAAAGAGTATAGACAGAAGGAATAAAAGTAATGTCTTTAAAAATCTTGAAATTAATAGATTTTTAACCTGTGATCACAAATATTTAATTGTTGACTGGTAATCTCAGCAGGTGTGAAGTTTATAGGTATCCTTGAGTTCTGACGAGTGAATAATGGTTTCCTCAATTTGCTGTTCATTGGGCATTGTTTTTGAGATGCTGTGAGAGTCAGGCAATGAGATTATCTTCTAATTCTTGCGTACAAATTCATTTTCTTTCTTTTTGCTCTGTTGCACAAAAGCAGCTCCTGAAATATTGTTCATTGTGTATTCCTGAGTTTGCCTTCTTTGTCTTTCCAAGATGGCTACCTGTCAGGCATGGTTTTCCTCTCCTAATATGTGAAATCATCACATACATGTGAATTAAAACAAGAGATGCAAAATTCTTGATGTTAACACAATTGTCTGGTTTCAATGTCTTTAGATAAAAGTAGAATTTGATTTATTCCAACTGGGTCTCAATAGCTCTCCTTACTCTGTGGTCAGGATCACTATAACTATTTTAGGTCCACATTTCTTACCTATTTAACATTGTTTTAATTCATTAAAAGTTTTAAGTGTAACATTGAGATGGTGGATGTTAAAATTTGATGGCCCATGTTTACCATAGTTGTAACAGTTCTAACTTGCACTCTAAGGATACACAGAAGTAAAGTAATGTAAGTATGAATACTACCGTCCCAATATTCTCCCTGAAATGTATAATTTAACACACTGAGATAGTTGCCAAGAGATAGCTACCCTTCAGATAAAGCATTGGTAATGCCCCCACAGTTCTCACTGTCCATGGTAAAGCCATAAATGGTTCAGAAAATTCACAATTTTCCCATAAGTCAGGCAATGCACCATGTTAACTCTTCCCAGGGTTCAGACACACCACAGTGCTAATGCTCCACACAGTTCAAAGCACATTTCCACATTAAAAAAACTCATAAGTTTGGAAAATATATAGCTTTGATTTTGGTGGTCATAACAAGCAGTGACAATATTATTTTCTCAGTTTTGACCATACTTGTCAGATATGTATGTTCAGGTTAAAGGCAAGTCCTTGGCTTAGTGTCTATTGATGTCTCATGCTGAGCTGTTTTTCACAGTTTTTGGCAGTGACAGTTTGCTGATTTGAGACCTACCTTCTCCTAGGAAGCTAAGTGACCCCCAAGGTCCTTGGTGGATCCATAGACATTAAACTGGGAACTACTTCCTCCCTTGAGAGGCAATATGTGTGCAAAAATATCACTGCTTTTTCATATATATTCTTATTGTGCTTGTACATACATTCAAGTTTAGCAAGTATATCACATGAACCTGTTGCACAGCCGATTTACTCAGTCACAAGGTGGGCAGTAGGAGTCTAAACTTGGCTGGAATTGAATCACTTAGATCAATCCAATGAGTGAACAACACGTTTAGCTCTGTTTGTAAATCTACTGAGGATATGCAACTGATTTACTCAGGAACACTGAAGAATAGTTTTTGTAGTCAAACCTCCTATGTTAATATTGTAATCTGCTAAAATATTCAATGTACAGAGATTATTTCTTGGTGTAATATCAAGGAAATCAAATCTATACAAAATGTTGATTCTGGATCTGTTTTAACGCTCCAATTAGGGGTTAGTTAGCTCAGTTAGCTGGACAGCTGGTTTGTCATGCAGAGTAATATCAACTGCAGGGATTCAATTCTTGCACTGGCTGAGGTTACCATGAAGAACTCTCCTCCTCAACGTTTCTCCTTGCCTCATGGGTGGTGATCCTTTTCTTAAACCACTGCCAGCCATTTCTCTCTAATGAGAAAGTCGGACTATGGTACCTTTACTTTCTCCCACTTAATATACTTGTACTAATTCACAGGCAAAGAGTTTGCTTTCTCTTGCTTTTGACTGTTCTGCTCTTACATATTTGTCATCTGTTCACATTCTTATTATCACAATATTTTATGCGGAATGAGACTTTCACAACTCTTCAACGCCATCTCTCTGATGTCTAAACTTTTCTTGTTGAACAACTCCTCCCTGTATATAAACATAAATTTATCCAACAGCTGTATCATGACCCCATATTTAGGAATACATTCTCTCAAATTAACAGATGCATTCCCTGGTGTGCAAGTCTTGTCTGATTGATAACTTGTAATTTAAACTGCCATTGCAAAATTTTAAGTTATTCTACGGTCTAAACTGTAAACTATGATTGATCAATTTAACAGATAATAAGTCAGGAATTTTGACTAAATTTTACTTTATTTGCTTGTAGGTGAAGCTGTTGAAGAAGCCACAAGAAGTTCAAATCCTTAGAAATGGCACTATTTCAAAAAATAGCAGACTCGTTCTCAGTTAACAAATCCACCCGTTCAGGTTTGTAAGTTTTGATATTCTTGATTCTACGTATGCATGTATAAACCAGTTTATTCATAGATCTAATGTAACTATGTGAGGCTAAACATATTTTTTGCCATAGTCCCCTAGTTAATGTCAGCAGGGCTGTCATTGCATAAATATGTAATGTCACAAAACAACTAGGTGATAGAACAAAGAAGTTATTATTTAATGGATAATGCAAGCAGTGATGCACCGATAATCTTATCTGCCATCTCTTCGGGTATTCTTATTATTCCCAGGCCACAATTATGTTGGGATAGAACTAACACAATTGCCCCTATTGTAGTGAGGTATATTTTAAAATTAAACCAAAATAAAATCTACCTCTTTTACTCCTGTTTTTCTAACTTTTGTGAAATCCTTTGTCCACTGGCACATTGTTACAGAACCTTGGTAGAGCAATCACAAAATGATCAAATAGATTCCAATAATTACATTTCCTGTCTGATGATATCCCCATCCAAAATTTCTCCCTTTCAGTACCTGGAACTTTCTTTGTATTTGGAGACAATGATCAAGACTCGAAAGGAGTCAATTATGTTTGCTTTAAGAATTGTAACAGAGAAAGATATTGTTACTTTATCATTGGACAAGTTAAAATGGCACCTTTGATAATCACTGGTAGGAACATTTATTTTGAATTCAAAACAATTCATCCTCAAAAATAAAGGAGAAAACATTTCTGTAGCTTACCTGTTTATGTACATTTTATTCCCTGCATTAATCTTTCCAGAATTGGTGACTGTTGTTGACATGTTTAAAGAGAAACCACCTCAGGTGATGCACTTCTTCAAAGACTCTTTGCATTGTACTTAAAATTGAAACAAATATAATCAAACTGAAAACAAAAATTGACTTGGGTATCATTTAATCTGTGATCTGCAATTCAAAGATTTAGAAGTTATGATGAAGGTAAAGTCAACATAGTCCCAGCTTTCGTAAGAGAGTGATGAAAGGCGTTGGTTTAACCTAAGGGTCACCACACCTTATGTGAGGGGGGAGGCTGAGATGCACTATGGGATCTCATGGAAGCCCCAGTGCTAGTAGTCCTTGGGAATCACCAAGCAGTGTGATCTTCCAATGGACATTTACTCAGCTCTCCAGTATCCTCTGAAAGTTTCTCTGATTCTGAGTAAGAGTCAAAGCTCTTTGGATAGTTCTGGATGGTTACCCAGAAAATGCTGGAAAGTAAAAATCCTGCTCTACCTCCTGAACAATTATACAAATAGCGCCCCCAATGGTTCATACTGATTCCACCTCTTCCCCACCACCACCACCATCTATCCTTTCCTGATGCTCTGACTAACCCCTGATCAGACCCCATGAATACCCCCTACGCATCCTTTCTCCCCCTGACCTATCTAATCACTCTCCCACCAACCACCCTCTCCACATATCACTTTATCCAGCTGACACCATGCCACCTGTCACCTTACCCCCTTATTCGCATTACCCCCTTCACCCACCCTTCCCCTTACCTAAATACCCATTCTAACCCCTCACCCAACCTACCCCCTTTCTCACTTAGATTATCCATCCAAAATCTGATCCCATGTATTCCCTCATCTGCCTTAACCCCTCACCTCTTAAAGTTGCCCACAGTGTCCCCCTTACTCACTTACATCACTAATCCTACCCTCTTACCCACCCTCTCCCCTCACCAACCCTACATCCCAACCCAACTTGCCCATTGCCTCATGAATTTACTCAGTCTGCCCCATGATACATTCATATTCTCATTGTACCTCTTCAAGAAAACCTTTGGGACATTTAAAATGACCAGGGTGTGACAGCTAGTGTTGTAAAAAAGGAATGGGGCTTATGTTCATCCTCTCCCTATGAAGAAACAGCTTCATTTCAGGTTCACTCAGGAATTTCTGGAGAAGAAAGGACCAGAAATGTGGAACTCATGTAGCTGAGAAAAGCAGGAAACAAGTGGCAATCTGATGGTTCTTGCCACTGGTCGAAGATTTGGGCCATTGATTTTGTAAAGGATGCAGTCCAGATTTGCTGGAATGATACCAAGTGCTGAACAGATTAAGTTTTGAAAATGGATTACCCAGATTATTCAGTTGGAAATACAAGACGAAGGGATGATTCAACTGAAATGCTTAGAATGATAAGGATTTGCTAGGACGGAACGAAATTATTTCATGTGGTAGGAGAATTCTAAAGAAGACATAAGCCTTAACATTAGAGCTGGACCACTCAAGAGTGAAGTTAGAAAGCATATACAAAGAGAAGCATCTACTGTACAATCAGGTATTCTCTCCTAGTATAAAGGAAAGGTTTGGAGACCCTGTGAACTGACAATTTCAAAACTAGGTTTGCTAGATTTCTGCTAGGAAAATATATTAATGGTTATGGAACAAAAGCAGGGAGATGGAGTTAAGAGACAGATCAAACAGGATGTAAATGGAGGTCAGAACAGATAGCTCCTGTCCTTATATTTTACTGAGAGTGGAGAGATTGTAAAGTAGAAGAGGAAAAGGACAGAAATAAAAGTAGTTTCCTGTAAAAAAGGACCAAGATGGGATGCACCTGATGAGTTGAATGACGTTTTCCATTTCTACATTGTTACTTACTGATTGATTTTCTGCTTTCATCCGTGATATTGTTTTTACCATAGTTGTTTATAGATCATAAAATTTCAATTTCAGATGAAGACAGGGATCAGGTTATTCGGGAAACAAAGAAGAGGACTCGCTTAATAAAGGATGGTGACTGGATTAAAAGCAAACCATCAGATGAATCACAGTAAGTGTTAAACCACATTCTTAAAAGAAGAATGTGGAACAATCGTCCCTTTGACTTTTCAAATGTGCTGCATTCAATTTATTAATTTGCTTGAAATGAACTTTAATAAGTGGTTGTTCTAACCAGGTGAGCAGTGGTGAATCAGTTAATCTCTTTCCAACTCTCTTTGTTTGGTCATGATATTGATTTAAGTTCTTTTTAGCAAGAGGCTATACCTCTCTCCAATCAAAATGTAATTAATTAGACATTGCTTTAGCAGCTAAGGAGCAAATCATCTACGAAATCCTGCTCACTTCCTTGCTGAAGATTCCAGTCTATATTTATCAGTTTTTCCACAGTTCTGTGTTTGTTTGCAATGTCCATTTCACCCTCAATGTAATAACTAATTACTGTATCCTGACATCTGCCGGACCCTGATACCGGCCAGGGAAAATTTTGTTTAATTTCATCCTTTACAACGCATTTCTTTAATTTCTCTCACAAGTCTAACTAAACACCTCAATTTCCATCGTTTTGACAGCTACATTAAAATGACTGTTGACATAGTTGGACTCATAATCACTTCTAACCTCAGGTGGATCCTCTACTTGTCAGTTGCTAATGCTTTGAAAATAGTCTGTCATTTGCTGACTGACCATTCCATGGCAAGCACCAACCTTCTTTCCTCCATCCTCAATGTTGTGGTGAGGGTATATTTTATTTTGAGTTCTGTAGACATACATATTTAATTTAAAAAATTGTTCTTTATTAACAGGCATATGGCAACTGATGTCAACTATGGAAAATCTGCACTAGGCCGAGCTAAATCCAGTGAAGGCCTGAACAGGTAAAAATATTCTTCTATATTGAATTTAGTTCTGCCTTGCACATCTTACATAAGGGTAAAAGGACACATCATAGAAACATAGAAGATAGGAGCAGGAGTAGGTCATTTGTATCATTGATAGCCACAGGTGAGGTTCCAGAAGACCAGCAGTTGGGTAATGTTGTGCCACAATTTAAGAAAAATGGTATGGAAAGGCAAGGAAACCATAGACCAGCGAGACTGACATTGGTAGTGGGAATCCTGAGGGACAGAATTTACATGTGTTTGGAAAGGCAAGGACTGATTAGGGATAGTCAACATGGCTTTGTACGTTGGAAATCATGTTTCAATAACTTGATTGAGTTTTTTGAAGAAGTAATGAAGAGAATTGATGAGGGCAGAGCAGTGGATGTGATCTATATGGACTTCAGTAAGGCGATTTACAAGGTTCCTCATGGTAGACAGGTTAGTAAGATTAGATCACACGGAATACAGGGAGAACTATTTGGATACAGAACTGGCTGAAAGATATGAGACAGAGGGTGGTGGTGGATGGTTGCTATTCAGACCACAGGCCTGTGACCAATGGTGTGCCACAAGGATCAATACTCGTCCACTGTTTTTTGTCATTTAATCAATGATTTGGATGTGAACATGGGAGGCATGGCTAGTAAGTTTGCAGATGACACTAAAATTGGAAGTCTAATGGACAGCGAAGAAGGTTACCTCAGAATACAACGGGATCCTGATCAGATGGGTCAATGGGCCGAGGAGTGGCAGATGGAGTTAAATGTAGATAAATGTGAGGTGCTGCATTTTGGAAAGGCAAATCAGGGCAGGACTTTATACACTTAATGGCAGGTGGGAAGTGTAGCTGAACAAAGAGACCTTGGAGTGCAGATTCATAATTTCTTGAAAGTGGAGTTGCAGGTAGATAGGATAGTGAAGAAAATGTCTGGTATGCTTGCCTTTATTGGTCGGTGCATTGAGTATAGGAGTTGGGAGGTCATGCTCTGGCTGTACAGGTTATTGGTTCAGCCACTTTTGGAGTACTGTGTGCTATTCTGGTCTTTCTTCTAGAGGAAGGATGTTGTGTAAATTGAAAGGGTTCAGTAAAGATTTATGAGGATGTTGCCAGGATTGGAGGTCTTGAGCTATACTATAGGGAGAGGCTGAATAGCCTGGGGCTATTTTCCCTGGATTGTTGGAGGCTGAGGGGTGACCTTACACGTTTATAAAATGATGAGAAGCATAGATCGGGTAAATAGGCAAGATATTTTCACAAGGGTGGGAGTGTCCAAAACTAGAAGGCACAGGTTTGAGCTAAGGGAGAAAGATATAAAAGGGGCCCAAGGGGCAATTTTTTCACATAGAGGGTGGTGCGTGTATGGATGAGCTGCCAGAGAAAGTGGTGGAGGTTGGTATGATTACAACATTTATAAGGCATTTATTTGGGTCTATGAATATGAAGGGTTTAAAGGGATATGGGCCAAATGCTGGCAATGGGACTAGATTTATATAGGATATCTGGTCGGCATGGATGAGTTGGACTGAAGAGTCCGTGCTGTATATCTCTATGACTCTATTTGACGCCTTGAACCTGGTGTACCGTTCAACATGACCATGAAACATAGGTATGCTTGCTTAAAGCATCTGTTTGCCTAACTTCACCATGCTGTCTTGGTTATGTTGAGTGATGCAATACAAAGAAATAGTGCTTTTATTTAACTCCATACAAGATAAAAATAATTTATATATTAAACAAGAATAAATTGTTTTTTTATTTGAGAAATGTAAATTTACGTCTTCAATAAATTCCAGAAAACACTGAAGGAAGTGTCCTTTAACAAAAAAATGACTTTAATCCATTGTGCTCTTTTCCGTATTTGGCATGCTGACAGTAAAACACACAACATTGCAAAAGATTATATTCACTATACTACATACAAAGCACACTGATCTCAATTAATTTGAATAGCTGTATCTCTTAAATCATTAGTCTGATCATGCACTTTTAAAATTTCGCATTCTTTTTTGAGTTAATGCCTTTTAGCTTAGGTTGGTGGCATGACGTACATTGGTTGTATCATATTTCTACTAACATTTTCTGAGCTTGCCTTGTTTGTCCTGTTTACACAGTGATTCAAGTAAGATGAGTGGTTTGAAGTCAACAACAAAAGCCGATACCATAGATGGACGAAAAAGGTATGAATTTATTAAAAGATTTTTCAAGAATCAAATAATATATTGCTGTGTTTTCTATGTCAAATCATGTGTAAATAATGAACAACAAAGAATTTAATTTAAAAGCCAGGGCTATTGTCTTATGAACTCACTTTGTCAAGTTGAATGAGTTTCAACAGATTGCCGCACAGAATTCCAAAATGCGTCATTGTGGTATTGACAAATGGAACAAATCCAAGCTTTTCTACTGAAACAATGACGCCACTGGGTTAAAGGTCAAACAACATTAATGCTGACTTCATAAGAGGTCTGAGTCCAGAATATCACATCCTCCATCCATTTGGAGTGAACAATGCAGAAATTGATCCGACAATGTTGTTAGGTTAACACATTGATAAATGTCACATTTCTGAATTTTGCAGCAAGTAGCACACAGGAATTTCCTAGAACTTAAGTTACAACGCTCATATTGTTTCTTAAGTGTTGGATATACATTCTGACATAACAGCATGAAAATAATTGTACAAGAGCGTGTTTTAACATGATTTAGAATAAAGAAGATCCGCTTTGCAGTGAAAGTCTAATCATATTTCCAGTTGACAACATTCATACTAATAATTTCAATGTGTGGTTCTAGGAGCAAAGGAATTGTGTATGTTTTGCAACATTATCAACAGGAGAAAGTTAGTATGTTTATGTACCTGATCTACACCAACCCTACAATGATCCCAAGTCCAAGCCAACAAATGACATTGTAGAAACAATTGGGTAGATGAAATCCATTTGTCAATAATCTTTTATTGTGTAATAAATCTAATTTGAAATTCAGCTGTCTAAAGAAGACATTGGTAGATGTCCTGGAGTAAATACTATCCATCAAAACCATTAAACCCAAGCAAATTAAAAAACAGGAATCAACTTACGCGAGACAAAAAGTGAAACAAAAGTTTTTATTTATAAAATTGTGAGAAGGTGGTAATATTTAACTCTTTAAATATGCCACATTTCATATTAAACTGCCCAGAAAACTTTGGCAAGTAGTGAACAATATTTCTCCACAATACAATCTAACAACATTGAGAAGAAGAAAAATCTTTTTTTTGCAAAAAACATATTATCATGTATAAACTTTTAAAACAGGATTGAATTATTCTTCAAAAAGAAAGATAAGAAAGCAGTGTGAAGAATGATCCAAATATCTTGGTTGTTTGACCAAGGCCTTGTCAATCTAAAAGTTCAGTGAATGGCATCCAATAATTTCGTATGAAGTCTTGAGTTAAGTGTACGTATAGACATGAATAAATTATTGTACTGAGATGTGAATTTGGAGTCCAATGTCGTGATGATTAGAACTGATGTTCCGAAAGAATAAAAAAAGCAATTGAACAGGACTTTTTCTAGCTTAGTACCCACTACATACATGATTGTTCTGCTAACTTTTAAACATATTTCCCCTTTACAATATGGAGATAGTTGAAATAAAAACAATTCAACACATTGTATTTCTGTGACTGGGATCACTGGGCTAAACCACACATCTGGATAATGGTTGTTATGAGATTTAACTTCTTTCAGTGAATACAGTGAAATGATTGTTCTACAATTAGCGTTGAGATTTTTTTTTATTTATATGATTTTCAGTGATATTTTCAATGGAAAGAATGGTACAATAAAAACATTAAGTACTGTGTTAGTGATGTTTTATCAAAAGCTTAATTCATTCCATCAAATGTGACAGGGATATTTTCTTTAAATGCATTTTAAGGCAGAATTGTTTTCTTTATCAGCAGCACTTGGGTAATTAATGCTGGCCGTAAAGTTATTCTCAACCGATACAGATCTGAAGAATTCCTGGACAGGTAGAAAAGCTGGTGGTATCAAGAAAAGTCTCTGGCCACTAACCACTTGAGTGGCAGTAATAAACGTGAATTCCGGAATTGATCCTAGATTTCCCAATCAACTTGAATCAGCATAATTTCACTGGATGATTGCTTGCAAATCAGATTTCCTTCTGAATTCCTAAACATTTAATGAAGAAAACCAGTTCCTAGCCGTACCTTCAATTGATGCTTGCTTGTTGATTTTTGTCATTGCTTTTCAGGCCCTTTCCTTCTGTTCAAAGACTATGTAACAGGCGTAATTGATGCCTTTTCAAATGAATTGAATATTATTAATTATAAAATCTTAGAAAAATTTGTATCATGAATATCTTTTGATTGCAGCACTTCAATTGTGAACGTTTGATCTCCTTTTTTAATGGTTAGAATAGGGCTCAGATGACCAAATGTTTAGGTGAAAATGGATAAAGCAGTCTAAATGCCCAGTTAAAGTAGATAAACCAGGTCATTAACCAGAAGAGCTGGAATCTGCATTACTATCCAGCCTATGACATGGTCTGAACCATTTCTTTCTTGAAACCCTCCCCCACCAATAATTAGAATCTGAGATCTCAAGGAATGTATGGAGAAGGTAGGTATTTGGAGTTCAGTTGCAGACCAACCATGAGGAACCTGGCTCAAGAGGCTAAATGATCTATTTATGTGCCTATGTTAAGATGTTTCTGGAACTACTCCTCAACCTCACCCATTAAAGAATTGAAGCTGCCTTGGTGGACATTCCAAACTTGCGTCTGATTGAGGCCTTCCACTGATCAATTAGCGCCCACTTAAGGGCTTCATCCCAGAGTCACTGGGTTTAATCCAGTGGTTTGTGAGCCTGTCACCATGTGGTAGGCCTGATAAGTGAAACTGGGAGGGTCACTAGTCACATTGAGTGGGAGTGATTTCTCAATCAAAGAGAACAATTGCTTGATCAAGAGACTGGACTTCAGGAAGCTAGTGCCTCTGTGATTCTGGTACCTCAAAAGGTGACCTTCAGGCAACAGTAGCAGCTTCCTCAGTGGTTTTGCTCAGCGCAGGAGCTACCGGCCTCTGATTGGCTAACAGCTCTTGCTGGGTAGGACCCTAGGTTTTGATTTCAGGGGAAGGATCACTGTGGTCTTATCGTTGCCTGATTGGTGTGACCTTTGGTGGGCCTTCCTTAATACAAGGTAGCCTGAATGTGTCACTGATTCTCCAGTTGACAGGAGAGACCCCTGAAGTCTCAAAAGGATTTAGCCCGAATGCATGAGATAAAAAGACAGATGAAGAGCTACACCTGATATGATAACCTATCTGACATGTCAGATGCTTCTAAGTTTTCAAAGCTTTTAGCACTTTGGATTTTTGTTTTCTTAGTTTCATTGTTCCAAGCTGCAATGGTAAACACCTGGTGAATTAATATACTAACAATGGAATCTTCTTTTGTATAGGGATACGAGTAGCACTACTGATCTCAGCAAAACACACTGGGCTTCAACTTTGGACAGACCTACAAGGTAAGATCACGACAACTGTAACAATAGCGCTCATAGAAAAATGAGGGTACATTCCCAATCCATGGGTTGTATCTACCCTACAGCAGTTAACTGAATCAGTAGTGAAAGATTTGACATTGGTTATGGTCAGTGGCAGATGTGGATTATATTGAAATAAAAGTCAAGGTTTCAGTTTACAGGAGTTAGGTAATCAGTCACAACACTTATGGTATCCACTGGGAAATATGAAAGGTTTATTCTCTGTCCACACCACTTTTGGGACTTTGTTCTTGTTTGACAGAATAAATAATTCCTCAAAAACAAAAGTAAATCAAATTAAATTTTGCTATTGTAGATTTAGCATGAAGCTGTAGGGAAGCGTTTGGTGAAGATTATGAACATGGGTTAGCAGCACAACAAAACTTATCATTCCTATTTCACCACTTCACATTTCTCCTCTGACATGTCAGAAATGGCTATTGAGGAAAAGTAACATCTGATTTACATGGCACTAATGTAAGTGCACTGGTTCTTCTGCTGACGAATCCATTCTGTTACTGAAGTCTGGATACGGCAACAACAAAACAACTTGCAGTTATGAGCATTGCACATGTGCCTTTCTGACTGAGACCTTTCTCATTGTTGTGAGATGAACTTTATTGATCAAAAATAAATATTGATTGTGACATTGCAAGCTTCATCTAGGCTGCAATGATCATCCCCCACATAATCAGATGCTTGAGATTATTCTTTATCCATGTCTCTTTGTCTGTCCAACTCCCACTCTCACCTCTTTCATCAAGTTTTATAGACATATCCCACTCGAAACCATCTTCAGCGTGTGCTCGATTTTTGTCTAGATTACAACACCGTAAGGGGCCTTTGACTTCCTTTCTGTTACTGGCACTATATAATTGCAAGCTGTTGTCATACTAAATGCCAAGGTGACAGATCCAAACAAAGCAACAGCACTGATACCCAACGAAGCCTCTGTTGCTTATTTTACAAGATTGGTTTTAAGGTATTTTGAATCAGCAAAGTAAATCTGAATTGTGCAATTGTGAAGGACGTTTTGTGAATACCTGGTTTTCAACTGATACTTTATGCTGGAAGGCAGATATTTTACCAGAATGGTCAAACAAGGGGAAGAAAACTTATGCTATTTTAATCCCTATGATATGTGCAATGCGCGATCAGAACCTTCGAGTAAATTTGTTTAGCTTTGTATGTTTCAGGTATAGAACTGTTCTTTTTGTTAGCAGCTCAGAGTCATCTCATAAGCTTGATAATAAAATTGTTCTGAGCCGATACAGATCTGAAGAAGTCCTGAACAGGTAGAAGCATCAACTGTGATACCAGCCAGAGTGAATCTCCTGCAAATGACTGAATGCGAGAAATTGTCCCAGCATTTTCAATCACTTTTAACATAAAGGTTCTTTGGAATGATGGAAACATGCTGTTCATTATGAGTAAAGTGGGCCTGACAATACAGCATTCTAAAACTACTTGTGCTGTATGCCTACATCACTGAATAATAAACAGTATAGTATTCCCATTCGTACTTAAAAATCATTAATACAATTGGTGCTTTTTAAGGAATTTCCTTTTTAAGTAAACTTGTATATTAGCACTGAATTCTAGTGCATTGGAGCAAACCTATAATGTTTCAAATGGAGCTGCTATGCTACAATGGATAGCATCGCAGACTCTGAACCTGGTTCTGACTCATAACTCAACGACCAAGGTGCAGCCAAACAGATTGAGGACTAATTCCAACATGTGACAGGTGGGAACGAATTGGAGAGATTCTAGTCAACCATGTGATGGAAGCAATCCAGAGCCTCTGTTTCAAACTCCAACATGCAAGTAAAAGTACGTGTTGTCACAGCAACAATGACTGCCAAAGTAACTTGTGACACACCACTTTGAAGGCCCTGTGCTGATCCAGTAACACACTGAGCAGTTTCTTTTTCCCATTAAGGCTTAAGGGAGCTAGATGGTTCATGAGAAACACATTCTTTGGACCTACAGCAGGGGCTGGAACGGAGATGAGTAAGCCAGAAAGGTAGCATCAATGGACTGTGTGCTAATCTTTCCCACCCCAAGTGATGTTTGATAGGTTAGGAGGAGTTAGAGTTGTGGATGAGTGAAATTGCCTGTGGCACTGATCAAGACACTTCAGCAGCTCATTAAGAGCTTGCCTTGATCACTTAAAAATTATCATGAGGCCGGCAGCCTTCAGCAGCTAGCTGATGTAGACCAGCTCAAGGTGGTGAGAATATGGTTGACAGTGTTTAAAATGGAGAAGGTCAACCTATAAGTGGCTGTAAAGAGACTTACTGGAGCAGAGGAGGCTTATTCCATCATAGGAAAAAGTTTTTAAAACTCTCAAGATCCTACTCTGTGCAGGCTTTGTGTCTCTAGTTATTCTCTGAAATGTGAAATGTCTCCACTTTCCATTGTATCAAACACAGAATTTACTGGCCATTAGACTGGCCACAATAGTAACCTCTGAAGCAAGTTGGAACAAGGCTTCCTTGCGATGCCTTGCTTTTTCCTTCGTGTGCCTTTGTGAGAACCTCTAGAAAGCATTCACCACCCACCTCCAACAATGTCCTTCTCTCCTACCCAAATGGTTCCATGGAATTTTTGGCTGCAAAATCAATGTTACCACAAATTATAATCAATTTCTTATCAGATTGGATAACAGAGATTTTCATCACAAACACCAGTTGTATGAATTAGAACATTTAGATCACTGACTGTAAATCAGAATTTGCACTTCTTTTGCTCGATGTTAATTTGAAGTTCACAATTATGCTTTCAAGTGACATTTCCTTGTTGATTTGATCAAATTTGTATCTGATGAGCCTGTTACTAAATTTCCTTTTCACAGGGATTTTCATGACATTGATTTATGATCTAAGTTGATGTCCTTGTACAGGAGCGTAGTATTGAAAGTGGGCTATTTCGTCCTTCAGGATAATCTGCTATTTTTGTTAGCTATTGGAGTCTTTATGCTAATTTTCATATCTCTGCCTCTTCTACACATTTATTACAGCCTTTACATCTCAAGTACATAGCACTGTTGTAAATTCTTGAGTTCATTTAGCACCTGTGGCTTTGGAACCACATTAATTGAAAATTAAGTATATGTCCTTATGAATGTCACATATCGTAATGTCAGTAAATTTTAACATATGCTGAGGGATCAGCCAAATTTACTGATGTGTGTACTTCAACAAATGCACTGGCATGATAAAATGCTGCTGTTGCTGCCAAACACATTTCCCATAGGGGCAGTATTGAGAGTATCAGTGACAACAGGCAGAAACAAAATTGTTTAACTATGGCTATAAGTCAAGAAAGTTTAAGTGATGACATCATGCAAACATTCAAGGTTAAAGAATTTGTCAACATTCAGCAAATGTCAAGTAATTTTAAGCATTCGTCTGGCATTTGAAAGTGAAACAATAGGGGAAATATACTTGTGATTTTGAGTTTTCTGGACATCAACATAGACTTCCATATTTTGTAATGTCATGTAAACACCTGTAGCTTTGTCAATATTCATGTTTTATTGAATAGACTAATTGTACAATATAGTTTTTTGGGTTGAAATTTCTGACAGCAAATAAAATCTACCCCCAATAATGCAGCAATTGATGTCCTTTTTAGTTGGGAACCTGCGAGCTAATTCTGTAGATATTGACAGCTGTTTGCCATTAATTTGTGAATATTACAGAATTATTATAATAAAGTCAATAATATTTTAACTATTAACTGATAGTGTGGTAGGGCTGTGACAGCAATATCCCTGTGAGTTCATAATATGGTAAACACCAATTAATTTTACTACTATTTTTGTCTGGATAAGGAATCCAAAGTAAACTATTAGCAAGAAAATAAAAGTTATTACAGACCGACAATAAAACTGCCCTCTGAAAATACATATTGACTTTTTAGTTAGTGGCTACACTTCAGCTTCAATTTCAGCTCCCTGTTTTTAATCAGCTGGGTGTCTTCAAATTCACTGAAACCAACACCTTGCAGCTGAGAAATGTACAACATGTTTATGGTTTTATTCATTCATGGGATGTGCCTCAACCAGCATTTATTGCTCATGCCTAACTTCCATGGACAATGTGGTGATGGACTGCCTTCTTCAAGTGCTGCAGTCCTCGGGTCTTAGGGATGCCCACAGTACTGTTAGGAAGGAAGTTCCAGGATTTTGACCCAGCACAATGAAGGAATGATAATATAGTTCCAAGTCAAGGTGGTTAATGGCTTGGTGGGGAAATTACAAGTGGTGGCTTTCCCATATGTCTGCTGCCCTTGTACTTCTAGACTGCAGATGTTGTGGGTTTGGATTTGCTCTCTCTTTATATATATGGTCAGTTACCTATCTAAAGCATTTATAACATCGCAAGATATCAAAGATGCTTAATTGATGCATTGTTAAACTTACTCCAAGCCATTTAAAGAGCTATTAATGCAGATGGCCAAATGTTTGGTCAAAATGTAGGTTCTAAGGATTACCTTAAAGAATGAAAGTAAACTAGAGACAAAAGCTTAGGGAGAGGATTTCAGGCGTTTAAGATCTAGGCAGTTGAAGTCGCACCTGCCAATGGTAGAGAGGGTAAACTCCAAGGATATTCAATATATCAAGTTTGGAGGGTTTCAAGGTTGAAGGCTATTACAGAGAAAAGGAAGAGTAAGGTCATAGAGGGATTTAAAATCAAGAATAAGAATCTTAATCAAGACATTGCTTAATCAGGAGGTAATCTTGGACAGTGAGTACAGGGATGTTGGGTGAAAAGAATTAGGTATGAGCTAGGGTGCATTTTAGATGATCTCAAGTTTATGGAAGGTAGAATTTGGGAAATCTAGACTAGAGCTAACAGAGGCACAAAAGAGGATTTCAGCAACAGAGTGCTGCTGACACCTACTCATTGCAACATTCACTGTTTTTTAACGTAAACTAGGACCTTGGCTTCATTCAGCAATCCATTCTAAACAGCAATCATCCTATGCCTTAAACTTAACAGATATTAACATTTACTATGCAATGTACCTCTGTAGGATCACTTCTCAGATGCCTTCTTTCAATTCATACAGCAGAGATTTTTCCAGTACAAACAACTTTTGCCAAAGCAGAAAAAAGATCACATTTAATCAATGCTGAAATCTTTCTAATCAACATACCTTTTAAATTTTATGTCTTTGAATTGCACTTTGTGAATTTTGAGTTTTGTTCATAATTTTCATGCTCGTAGTGCTGAAAGAATACTGCTTCACTTTCATGGTGATTGATTTTCTCGACATTTATTTTCTCTTGCCTTACACAGTGACAAAGGTAGCACCGACATCTCCAGCCCTACAAACAAATATTCAAGTTTGGAAAGAAAGACCAGGTATGATGGAAGTTCAACAGTATCACCGAATATATTTTCCTACAAAAAGGGCTCACTGTTATATTACTTTATAATGAAACTAAACATTAATACTTTTTTTCTTTGGAATGACCATCAATCAATGGAGTTTGTGGTTGGACATTTATTCAGTAGGCGTAAAACTAGCATGAGGGGCAGTTATTAAAATAAATGCCTGATTGCCATTTTTTCTCATTCATAATTGAGTTAAGCTTTATAAATATGATCTTCACTAAGAAGCGGGTGAAATGTTGTACCAACATTGACATATTTTCCATTAACTAATTGGACAATGTTGCAGCCATTGGTTGGCAAGTTGCTGTGTTTGGCTCATGTCAGATGGAATTCTGAGAAGTAATAAAAATGTTCACAACGTTATGCTACCCTGAAGCACTTCTCAACTTATGAACTACTTCCCTGAAGTGTAGTCTTGGTTGTTTTTTGGGGAAGTACGGCAGTAAATGTACACTGACCTACGCCGAACAAGCAAAAGTGAGATAAATGACCAGCTATATGCACAGGGGTTGCTGGAAATACTCGAACTCCTTTCCAACATGTTTTTAAAATTTCAATGTTGGGTTTTGAGCATCCACAATGCTTATTCTTGCAAATCACCATTTAATTTGTTTTGCTGCCAACTGAACAGGAAAGCGTGACGGAGCTGTTCTACAGACGTCTGTTGAGGTTATTTTTAACTGCTGTTTTGCCTCTGTTTCTGAACCTTTTGGGGTGGGGTCGGGTTGGATTGGATTGGGTTAAAATCTTACCCTGATCCACATTAGCGTACAATGACTGCAAGATCAGATCAACAAATCAAAACTGTGGAAACAACTTTGAAGACATAATCACTTGTCAACAAGTAATTATGGAATAACATATTCCTTGCAAAACTTGCCTTGCTAACATGAACTGAGTATGCAGTCAGTTAAAATGATCAGAACAGCACTATGGGTTACAATCAAGAGACAAGCATGGTTATCATTTCAGAGAACCTCTTTTGCAACATCAGGGTTCGTTTGCAATGTGAATAAATTTCACATGCCAGATTTCTCAAAGACCAGCAGAATGGGTGAAGAAAACAGTGATGATTTTATAAAATATGAGTTTGGAAATTACTGAGGTTGTCGACTTGCTGGCCAAGCTGGCTTGATCTCGTTCAGACGTTTAGTCACCATGCTAGGTGACGTCATCAGTGGACCCTCCGATGAAGCGATGTTATTCTGCTCCGCTTGGAGTAGAATAACGTCGCTTCATCGGAGGCTCCATTGATGATGTCATCTAGCACAGTGGCGAAACGACTGAACGAGAACAAGCCAGCTTGGCCAGCAAGTCGACAACCTCACCCACAGCCCGAGCTACAAATCTTTGCAAAAACTTTAAATTTGGAAATTATTGTAAGCAGTGAGAGGATGATTTCAGAGATAGCTAGTTACAGACAGGGAAAATCTGGAGGAACTATTTAAACAAAGTAGTGGAACAGTTTAGTTGGAAGCAATGTGAAAAAAAACATGATATGATTGATGTAAAAAGCACCCAACTTTGCTGGTCAAAGACTCTGAAGTAGGGTTCTTCTTTGAGGCATTTTGGACTTGCTATTTCCATTTGGTTTTGCATGCTAGTATTATATTTACCACATGTAAATTATATTCATCATGCTGTACAAAATGCACCTTATAATGAGACAACTTTATGTCAAAATTTCACTTAATTTTGATGAATTGTTTGAGATCAGAATTTTATGCTGGATGATTTGTAATAATTAAGCATCCACTTTAAATTTGACATGTGTATTGTGGACCCCATGTTATTTAATTAATTGTGATATGAGTAAGCTCAGAAAATAGGTGCATTAAATCCTTGCATCAGGCTGAGTAGTATGTGAATAGGTAATGGGATCTATGATTTACTTAAGGAGGGATAAACTTGAATTGGAAACAATTTAGAGAACGTTTGCTAGGCCAACTTTCCAGGATAAAAGTGCAGGCTTACGTTTAAAGGTTGACAAAGTTGGGCTTCTATTTATTAGGGTTTTGAAGAATATTAATTGATCTTATTGAAGCAAGATTTTGAAGGGCCTGTCAGGGTAGGTGCTGAGAGAGTACTTCCCCCTCCTCATCAGGGAATCTAAAACTAGGGATACTGTTTAATAATACGAGGTCTCCCCTTTAAGACACAGATGAGGAGGAACATTTTCAGAGAGTCCTTAATCTTTGGAATTCTCTTCCCCAGAGAGGAGTAGAGACTGAGATGATTGAATATGTTTGGGGCTAGGTTAGACAGATTTTTGATCCACAATGGAATTGCTGGTTTTGGGACCAAGAAGAAAGGAAAACCTGAGGCTATAATCAAATCAGCCATTATCATAGTCAATGCAAAGTAGAGTCATGGAGCCAAATGGATTATTTATACTCCTCCTCCTATTTTTTTATGACGTTATGACTTGAGTTGCTCATTTTTTAAAACTGCTCTTGGCTTTCTGTTCTCTTGATATTTAATTTAACTTGAGTTGAACTTCCAACATCCCATTGATCAAAATGGCTGCCTACCTATCTACCATTGACAGCTCAACACATGATTCTGTCACCTCCAGGTTCAATTGTGCCATTGCTTTCCTGGCGATCTTCACTCCACCCATAATCTTCAGCTCATCCAACATTCTGTTGTCCATATCAAGCACCAGTCACGCTGATCCATCATTTTTGAACTCATGAGGAACAATTCCCCTCATGGGAGAGTCTAGGACAAGAGGGATTAGTCTCAGAACAAAGGGGAACCGATTTAAAACTGAGATAAAAAGGAATTTCTTCTTGCAGAGGGTTATGAGTTTTTGGAACTCATTGTCACAGAGACCCATGGGGGCAGAGTCATGTATAATTAAGGCCGAAATAGATTGATTCTCCTAATAATCAAGAATCTAAGATTATGGGGAAAAGGCAGGAATGTGGACGTAGGAAATATTGGATCAACCATGACCCCATTGAATGGCAGAGCAGGCTCGAGGGGCTGAATGGCTTACTCCTGCTGTGATTTCTTATGATCTTATGGACTGCCAACAGCTCAAATTTAACATTTCATTCAGTATTTGAATAAGTCTGTGGTCTCAGCCCCTTCTGTCTTTCTGGCTTCCTCTAGTCATACAACCCTGCTTAAGGGGAGGCAGTGGTCAAGTAGTATTATCACTGGACTGTTAATCCAGAGGCCCAAGTAATGATCTGGGAACCCAGGTTCGAATCCCACCACAGCAGATGGTGGAATTTGAATTCAATAACAAAAATCTGAAATTAATAGTCTAATGATGACCATGAAACCATTGCCAATTGTCAGAAAAAACCCCATCTTGTTCACTAACGTCCTTTAGAGAAGGAAACTGCCATCTTTATCTGGACTGGCTGACATGTGACTCCAGACCCACAGCAATGTGGTTGACTCTTAACTGCCCTCTGGGTAATTACAGATGGGCAATAAGTGCCTAGCCAGTGACGCCCTCATCCTGTGAATTAATAAATAAAGCTCTTAATTCTTCTTCCAATCTCTTAAGCATCCTGCCTTTATCTTTCTCACTGTTAGTGGATGTATCTTTTGCCAGCTACGTTCTATACTTTGCTATTCCCTCAATAAGCTTTAATACAATTCCCATAAAGTCTCATGCATTTTCCATTTTTCTCATGTTGATGCCCATATTCTTCCCACTCTTATCAAATACCTTGTGGCAAGCTAAGAGAAATTTGAAAGCAATAAGTCTCCATCCACATAGTACAGGCCCACAAGAGGCAGAAATTATGGTGAATATTAAATAAATAGACTGCTTTATGCTTTTCAAGACTAAAAAGAGGCACAGAATAGATTTACAATTGTGGTCCAATCATATTTACTTCTATAACTCAATGATGTGAGAACGCTAGAATCCAATATCAACCTCATGACCTAATTTGGCTGGTGCCACACAGAGTTTATTTCCTTGGTACTCCTGGGGTGGTTCTTACACTCTCTCTAAATCTGGTTTTATATTTCTTTAATATAACTGTCAACCTATTTAAAACTAATGGGTAAATCATGGTGTTATAATAACACAGAAGGAATTTAATGGAATAATGTTATGAAGCTGGGTAGAATTAAAAGATTAACCTCTTAGTTTTCAGGCATAAATTGGCCATCAAGTCAGGCTACTGTGCACCACAACATATTGTAGGCTCATTTCAGTTTCTGTATCTTTCACCTTTGATGTTATTTTTAGAAGCTTTTGTCTTTGTCTTGTGAATTAACTAACAATAAAACTTACTGAGTGTAACCTTGACCTGGGGACATAACACAAAGGAAGAATTTTGAATCACTTGTCCATTTTGCATGCCTTAATTTTAATATCCAAAAATTGCTGGTGAGTTAATCCATTGAACAAACTTAATTAATTATTACCTTCTCTGATGTCTGAAAATAATCCGTAATGCATTGATATCAGAATCTCATTGATGAGGGTTGCATTGTAAAGATCTTTACACCAGGGTTCCGCAGTGTCAAGAGAAATTAATTTGTGATTTAATCTTATTACATTAAAAACATAGAAAAATAGAAAGAGTAGGCTATTTGGATGTCCAAACCTGCTCTGCCATTCAGTATGAACATACCTGATCGACCAACCCAGTACCCTGTTCCTGCTTTCTTCCAATCCTCTTTGATCTATTTGGGTCTGAGAACGAATTAGCTATTGAGTACTTTTTCAACCAAGTTTTCTTCTGTACAGCATCAGTAAATTAAGTTGTTTGCTCTTCAGATTTTATTACTATTTGGAAGCTTTCTCAATTATTTTGTTGGAATGGCTTACCAACCAGCCTTATGCAGGTTTTCCAATTTATCGCTATTCTCTAGGTTTAAGGTCTCTGATGAGTTTAAGAGTTTTACTCGAACAGTTATTGATTACAAGAATTTTCAGTATGAACTAAACATTCAAATAAAAGATTAGTCCTGTAATGGAATTAATCTGTAGCCCTCAGATTATGATCTTCACTGTGCCTTGTATCATAAATCGTTCACTGCATCAGATTAGCAAGATTCTGAGCTGAACAGTTGATGAAATGGGCTCAAATGATTTGGGTCTATTATTAGATACACTTTTTATAACAATAGGTAATGAGTTCGCAACCAACATTTTAGGCTCATCATCTAAATGGTACTTTTATGATTGAAGTCAATGAAATTGTTCTGAAAACATTACTAGACAGTATTTTTTTCTACTTTGTACTAATTGCAGGACCTCTTCATACAAAACTGAGGAATTGCCAAAGATGTGAGTGTATTTTTTTTTGTTATTTTACATCACATAATTTAAAATGTGTTAGGTTGGGTTTTGCATGGATAAGGATGTGGTGGTGGGTGCAGAAGCTGAGCTTGCCCCAGGACTATTTAATGATGAGAAGGGCTGTTAATTGGTTTGAGGCAGTCAGTCCTCCATCATTTGGGAAAAGCTCCCACCTCTGTAAGTAGCCTGCCAAGTCTTGTGGCCTGCAGTTTTCTGGTCACTATAGTGCCACTGGGAGCAGTGATGAATGTGATAGCCCAACGTGGAGAAAGGGGCACAACGAAGGCAGCAAACCTTGGTGGTGGGAATATATTAAAGTGGGCCTCTGATGCAGAGAAGAGTACTGTAAAAGCATGCACCCACCCTACTTGACTGACCATCTATTGGCAATTTTTAAAAATGATTTTGAATCTGCTTCCCCTATTTCCTACTATTTTCACTGCATCGTAAAGTGTAAAGGTTTAATGTTAAATATGAAGTAGACTATCTACGTCACCAATTAGATGGGATCACATTGTAACAGAGTCTACTGATAAATGGTTTTATATGAAGCCTCATGCTAAGCGCAGTTCTGCATATTGTTCTTATACAATAAAAAGTAAAGGAATAAAGGTAGAGTTTACCAACATCCCAAACTCTCCACTCTCTATCAATGGTAACCAATGACACAACAAAATTATCTCTATCAATGGTAACCAATGACAAAACTAAATTAAGACCCACAATAATGATGCAGACCTCTTGCTTCAATATTACAGACAAACTTATAGGTTTAGCATAAAATACTCTCACTCAGTCTTTAATTTATACATCACAAGTGCAAACTGATATTCTGTGCAATGATAAACTTTCTACATAAATATAAGAACAAAAATAACCATTCAGCCCCTTGGCCTGTTCTGCCAGATAACTAGGTCATGACTAATACCATTCATTGCAAGCCAGCATTGACCCATATAATGTTACCTAACAAAATTCCATTGATCTGATTGGTGGAAGATTCTATTGAGCCAGCATCCTCAGCCATTTGGAGGATACCACTTCAGATTTCCACTACACTTTGTGAAGAAGTGCTTCAACTTCACTCTTGAATAGCTTGCCTCTAATCTTGAGATTATGCCTACCTTGTTCCACATAAAGAAATGTTCTCTAATTATTTTCTTACCCCACCATTATTTGTTCATTTTTGAGCTTGTCCAACACCTTTTAAAATGGAATTAAAACTTGAAAATGCAAATGTGTTTTTTCTCTAATTCTAATTTTGTTTTTGAAGGACAATAATTACATCTGAAACAAAAACTGAGAGTCCAATCAGCAAGAGGTAAGGCCACAACTTTTAAATTTTACAGCATCTTTCATCCAACTGAGATTGTGAATAGTTTTAATTTGATTTATAATTATTCTTAGTGAGGCAGTTAATGATGATAATCACCCAATCCTATTATCCATGCAAATATTCCAGCACTGGAGTTTGATGTGGATATCTTTGATTTTGGCCTGCATACCTTAAAAAAGTATTCAAGTCAGGTTGCACCAATGAAGAATGAAACACTGTCCAATGGTCATTCTAACTTGTGGAAGTAATTGTTTCTATGGTCAGAGTTTCAGATTGTTCAACTTCAAGAAATATCCTACAACATAGATGTGTTTTATGCCATGCTTCAAAGATGGCTTTGTTTTTCTTCTTTCTTAGCCAACAGAGCAGGACCAGTCCTGATGGTCGAGTAACAACACAGGAAAAGTCACCTACAAAGTAAGCATCAGGATCCAGTTGTTTTAAAACTTATTTCACAAAACTTTAAATACTTTCAAAGCTTGTTCATTTTGTATTTTGCCCCTCAAATGTGTTTATGAAGTTATAGGGCATTGTAGTGATGTTCCTGCAGGAACAATTCAATATATAGTATTTGGTTTTCATTGCATGAGTTGCAAGTGTCCTTTCATTTCTTCTACAATAATTAACCCCTTAGAGCATGGATAAAATCACGAACTCATATCTGACATTCACATTCCCTAAAATCAATACAGGCTTTGTTTGTGCTATGACTGTCAACCTGTAACATTTATAATTCTAAAACTATTACAGTTGTGGCATAAACATTTGGATGGAACACCTGAGTCAAGTGATTTTCTGGGACCAGAAACACTTAGACGTTTTGTCTTTGTGCACACAGAAGTGCATACCCCAAAGCCTTGTTGCTGCAGAAGTCCAAGTCCATGCTTAACTAGTTTTCACATTTCTCCAAAGAACTGATATACAAAAACATTCTCAGAATTTTGATTTAGAACTCGTCGATAGAAGTACTAAGAGGAAATCTTTCCAAACGTCTCAGCCCATCAATCACAAACAGGACAGATCAATAAGTGAAAATGATAGTTAATTGGAAATGAATATTGCTGAAAAGTAGACATATTGAAAAAGTTTTCACCTTGCACTCATCACGACAGATAACAAGAATTTCACATTTCAAACGATCATAATAATTTATATTATAGGACAGCAGAATTGGCAAGTCAAAGCTGCTGGCAAAGGCATTGCCACAGATAAAGAAAGATGAAACTCGCGGCACCCTAAGTTCTCTTTTCGCCAAAGGTTAAATTGTTGTGATCAATTGAAGGTGGGCACTCAACAGGATAAATGCATGAGAGCCAAATTTGGATTTGAGGACTAAAGAGCCAGAGCTTAGTTGTTATATATTACGCACAGACAACAATTTAGCAATTCCTAGTCTATATTATTTCATAGCCACTGCCCATTTTCTTTAAGGTCTTTTCATGTCATAAATAATTTCTCCAGTGAAGTGCCGGAAGGCAAGCTCTGAGTTCTGATAACTCTGTCATGTAGCTGCCAATGAGTTGAATGTACAAGTGACTTACAGCAAGTGCCTGTGCCTTCTGGTACAACATAAAATCTTTAACCTTCTTTTTCCAGACACTCTAACATCATTTTAGAAAAAAAAAGCTAGATTGAAGTACTCCTTTATAATCTTGTTTATGCGTGACTGATTAAATAACATAACTTTGGACATTATTAAGCTGTGTCTTCAAATCTGACCTTATCACATTCAGAAACTGACACTCACATTTTCTCAATTGGCAGGCCAATTTTGAAATGGAGTAGCCAGAAAGAAGAAACTTCAAGAAGTAGCTATGTTCCAAAGAGTTCAACACTGGAACAAAATACTTCAAAGTGAGAAAATTGAAAACTTTAATTCCGCCTTTTAGAAAGAATTTATTTTATGCCATTTCACTGAATTTTCTTACTGCATTGTTATTGAAAGAGAGTGTAATGTTCTAATAATAGAAAACAAGGTGGGTGTGTGTCTGCATGTGTATTTAAATATTTCCTTTCTCTACACTTCACTGATAAGGTCATGCAAGGTATTGGGTGGAGCTGCATGTGTTCCTAGCCTATTATTTTTCTTTGCCATGGATTTCAGAATGTGAAGTCATTTAATCTCTGATTGTTTGTATGTGCAGTTTGTAGCCAAGGCCTATGTCTGCATTGTCAATTGGCCAACTTACCATTACCATCATCACAAGATAGTAAGATAGTTATGGTTCTAGAAAAGAAACTTTCCCTTTTTCTTCTTTGAGATCAATTATTCTGACCAATGCTCTTGTATGGCTAAGCTTCTCATTTAAAGAAATCATGAGGCTGAATGTTCGAATCCTGCTCAGTTCAGGAATAGGTGGACCCTGGAAATGATAAAGCCAGCTGACATACCAGCTTCCCACTCTATTGCCCACGTGGGGAAATTTGGTCGATTCCAGTATTGTGCCCAGGATGGTTGACCACACTGCAGGGTAGGTGGGATGTTTGGCTCACTCAGAACCTTGACCACCAAGTTTTCTGATGCAGTAGGTTTGGGGGATTGGTTTGCAGGTTAGCTCCCTAAAGGTGGGCACCCAGTGACAGACTGGGGTATGCACACTCAGGAGTATAGGCCTACAGGTCTGTTTTGCTTGCTAGGGCAGGGATAACACCTATAAAGGGTGTGGGACTGCCCCTTCCCCATGTCCTACCCCAACAACAGTGGCCTCTCAGTTATTTGTCATGCAGCCAGTTGCTTTTCTGAAACTTCAAGGACTTTGATCATTCTTCAGCTTCAAGGGTCTTCCCAGAAGCTCCATTCTAAGAGGAAAGCCCTTTCCGTGCCAATTAGAAACTCACCTGTGAAAATTTTGACGTTAATCTGTTGCCTGCATGAGGAGGCTTGGGAACGACAGACATTCCTGACAGACATTCAGCTCATCGGGTCAACTGGAGCAACTAGAATAAGATGGTTAGTGACTTGCATTAAGTGCTAGGACTGTGGCTATAATCCAATTTGCTCTCCTCTTTAAAGAACACCTACCAGTGCTGAATCTGATAGTCTGATTGATCTGACACCTACCACTGAAAGTACAAGCAAGGGGTAAGTGCTGCAAAACTACAGCTAACACTTCAGTGGTAGGCTTTAATCAAATGTACATTTGACAGCAATACAGCTTTGCCCAGATAAGGATTTTACTCTTTACGTCTTTCAATTATTTTACACACACTTCTGTGTATCCTATCTTAAAGGTCAATTGCCCACTATTTAATTAAGATTAAATCCTGTTTTAGAAAATATTATTTCATCAATTTTCCAATTTTCTGTCATCTCCTCTCCTGATGGTGTTTCCTGTTGAATGAGTCATGACTGGCACTCTGGTACTCCAACTGAGTGCTAATTCTTCATGTGTGAACAGTATGAGTTGTCAAGCAATTGACCAAGGGGACATTATATAAATATAATGAGAGGTGGCTATTTAGGCCACCTATTTTACCAAAGTAATCAGGTTCTTGTTTCGGGCGTGCTTCAGTTCTGTTTCAATATGCAAGCATGACATCATTGTAGTCAAAAAGCATGTTAACATTCATAGAGAATTCAACAAAATCAGTGTTTACACATTAAGTAAGTCTGGCTGATATATAATGAACACAGAAATCTACGATTATAGTACATTTTCCTTTCTGTTCGCAGGTCAGATTTTATATCGAAGGTTGGAAGCAAAAGCCTAATTGATCTTTCAATCACTCCAGAGCAAACTAATACAAAGTAAGATCACAGTCGATGTTACCTGAAGCCAGAATAAGAATTGCAATTTTTTGATCTAAACTCATATCCATTTGAAGCTTTACAGACTGAGTTTAACAGTAAAAATGTTCTGAAAATTACTGTAGGTTTGAGTGTTTGGTGGAATATATAGAATAACAATTGACTCTATAAAATGGAGGCACAGAGTGCAGATGCTAGGAAGTTATCGAAAATGTCCACATAACAATAGTTAGTCCCCAGTTGGAATACTGTGTCCAGTTGTAAGCACCGCACTTTAGAAAGTGCATCAAGTCTTTGAGGAAAATCAGAGACGATTTACTATTAAGGATGAATAGGTTTCAGTTATCTGGAGAAATCTGAGAATCTGGAATTGTTCTTCCTAAAGCAGGTAAGTTGAATGTGAAATTTAAAGGAAGTGTTCCAAATTATGAAGTGCTTTCACAAGAGCAGATGAAGAGAAACTGTTTCCACTGGTAGAAGGTCCAGTGATTAGAGAAAATAGATTCACTGTAATTCTATAAATAAAATTCAGGGGTTTTGGCAGCAGAAGTGGAGAAAAATCTCCTTATTCATAGGATTGTTATATTCTGGAATGTAAAGCCTATGAAGATTGTGGAAGTAGATTTAATTTAACATTTAGAAGAGAATTACATAAACATTTAAAATTGAACTAAATTACAAGTATTTGGAGAAAGATTAGGGGTGGGTCTAATTTGTCAACTCTTTCAGAGAGCCTAGGCATAGGTATCATGGGCTGAATAGCCTTCTCCTGTGCTAGGTAATTTTACTGCTCTATTCTATGGTTATATGACTGGCACTTCACTGCAATTTTGAGGTAAGAAGTGTCTTGGGTATTTCCAAAAAATGCACGTTCTTTTTTACCTTGTGATATCGAATAATATTAGGAAATTGCAGTAATGTTGGAATTGTGGCATTTGCCAATTTTGCTCTTGTTTAAGAAGTCCGGTTACTACTCCAACTGCTCCAGCTAGAACTTCAAGTCTTATTGATCTGTCACCATCCTCTCCAGCCAAACCTAAGAGGTAAGTTCAGGAATGCTTTCCTCCAGATGACATATTGCAGTTGATCAAGTAGTTAGCACCATTTTATATTTCTTCAAATACAAATTCATGTTTAAAATAATGATACTATTCCATTCTTTGTGAACACATGAAAATGCAGTCATGATCTTTTGGTGACTTATTATTCTTATAAAAGCCCTGGATGTAATGGCTAGGATCCTTTGGGTGATTTTTTGTTTGGCTAAACTGAGTCAATAATTGAAGCTGAAGTATTCATTGTGGTGTACCAGCTCATGGTTAACCTGATACCCTGCTGACAAGGACCAGACACTTGTAATATGTCCACCTATACTAGGTGTAATGTTAGCACATACATAATGGTGTTCTGGCAACGAATCACAGAATTACAGAATCACGGCAAACGCTATGCTGGATTCATGTCTGCTGAGACAGAAATATTTAGCTGTCACTGTAGCTATTGGATCACCGATAAACTACTGGTTTTCCCATCATCATTGTGCCCGCTTGTCCAATTGAGCCACCCATTGTGTCTTGAACTTGGCTCTGCCTGCACTCCCCAGTCGAACAATCACACTCGTCAGTATTCAGAACTGAATAATGGTTAAAGAGCGGGATGCACTGAGGAAACTCCTGCACTGTCTTCCTGTTCCTTTTGACTGTCTGGTGGTTACCCTTCCTTCTTTCCCTGCTTCTCTTAATCTGGAGAGACCGCACCAACAAGTACATTATTCACACAGCTCTCAACCTCACAATGCCAGGTGCTGCTCCAAAACCAGAACTCACACTACTGCAAATATCAACACTTCCTGTCTAAATGGTTAACCAGGATACATGCTGCACGCCCCACATTGCACAGGATATGAACTCTCAATACTGAAGCAGACTTGCCATTCCTTTTTATATTTATTCACCTTAATACTTCCAAAAATGTAGCAATAATAATAAACATTATAATGATTAAGAAAACCTTATAACTGATAATAAATTGACTAATAATTTACACTTTACTAGTTCCAATAAACCTTATTTAAAGCTTCTCTTTCCCGCTGTGCAATGAATTTCCACATGAAACAAATTTACAGCGTTACAAGGAAGTGGTGGATGTGGGTACAATTACAATATTTAAAAGATATTTGGATAAGTATGTGAACAGGAAAGGTTTGGAGGGATATGGGCCAGGCACGGGAAGATGGGACTAGTTTGGTTTGGGATTATAGTCGGCATGGACTGGTTGGACTGAAGGGTCTGTTTCTGTGCTGTGTGACTTGGTCTATATATCACTCAGGCATGGTCTTCTGACAATGTACTCCTAACTCGCATTGCAGTTTGAAATATTTGTCTCTTATATAGAGTGTCTGATGAATCATGACTTAGTACAGCATCATTGTACAATAATTTAAACCCATTGAACCAACAACTTTCATTTGATTGATAGATAACTGTCACTATGAGACAGATACCTGTTTAACAAGGCAGTTTGGTTACTTAATAGTTGTTCATTCAATGTCACAGTGCGGCTCTTAATTTATACTTAAACTTGAGAAAGATTTACCAGAAATTACTGTGTGAACCGAATTCACTCCTAACCTCAGTCACATCACATTCAGGTGTAGTCTTCTGACCATGCATCCCTTAATGACCCTACTAATTAATAAAAGGCATATAATTACCAATTAAAGTGTTAATGTGTTCTGCAGTGACTTTTTGAGACAGTCTTGAATTATAGAATTTCTTTTAACAGAAACAGTGGTGAGTGGGACAATACCAGCTTTTCTACAACTACAAGCACGAAAACATCATTTGACCCAAATTCAAGAAAGTCGAGGTATCACATGATACGGCTATGTTATTTAATGCAATTATTTCTCCCTAGATTAGGTAACCATTTGCATTATCCCACTAATGGAATGGAAATCAATTCAATTACATAATGTGAGAGTGATCAACTTCCTAGATTACTATCTGTGTTCAATAAATTCCCTATGATCAGAGACCACTGTCAAGTTCCTACTAAACAGTACGTTTCCAGTCAGTAATTTTGACCAGGCAGAGGTGTTTGACAAGGGTGGTTTAAGAAGGGGAAAACTAACGTAGATTATTAATTTATAAATGTCATTAAATGTTCAATCTGATATTTGAAACAAACTATTTTTTGAACAGGAACAGTGGAAACTGGGATGAATCCAGCTCATACACCACTACAAGCACAAAGTCAACCTTCAACCCAAGGACCCCAAGGTACTTAGACAGCAACTTGAAATATCAAAGGCAGAGAAGAAGCTTTTCTTGTACATTGTATTGTGTAATCAGTGTAGACGTTTCTCTAGATAAATCACAATACTCAAATCTAAATTGATTGGATGGACTTAGGCTTTGCAAACCACCTAACACAAATTTGAAGTTCTGAGACACGTGATGATAGAACTTGGAGCTTGTGGATCTAACCAACAATAATGCCCTGAATTCCTGACATCAGATGCAACTTTGGGAACAAAACAGGCAAACAGGCTCCAAGGAGAACAGATATGATCCCAAAAGGAGGGAAAGTGTGCCCAAAGAGGAGAGAAATATTTTAGTGTGTAGTTCCTAGGAAGTTCCCAGAAACAAAGTCGAGAGAACATGGTCACACTGAGGGTTTAATATTGAGGGGCTGAGATGACTGTAGGGAAGGAATTATTAAGTCCATGTTTTTTTCTGTGGGCTGTCACAAACACTGGTTTTATTTTTACTTTTACTTGAGGGCAACATACTGATTGGAACAAGTCTGATTTGAGTCTCATTGATTCAGTGTGTGGGTCACTGAATGATTATCAGAAGTGATCCCTAGCTGATTTTATGTTCTCTCTAGTCTAATGGTCTTGGGTGAACTTTAGCAACCCTAACTGCTTTTTGAGTTTTAGTATTTTTAACCTTTGATGGGAAAAGAAAGTTTTATTTTTAAATTCACTGATACAGAAGAAAATGTTTGTCTTCTTCAAATGAGCAGTAATGTAACTACTGGATCATCTGACTGTCAGGGAACACATCTGATTTTTTTTATTCTTTCAACTCAAAGCAGCAAAAGTCAGGCAAGTTTTACAGTAGCTAATTATCCATTTTCCAGGTCAGTGGCAGTGTGAAAATAACTTCCACATGACCCTAGTCACCTTTGGTAGCCATCTTAAACAGTGGCACTCCAGTTAGTAAATTTGATTAAGCGATGTGGGAAGCTTTGAGATAGGGAAGATGGAGAAAAATACAATAAATCATTCATTTTAACATTTTTGGTGTGGCGTTTGAAACATCTTTTACTTTTTCACATGAACAGTGGAGACTGGGATGAAGTCACCTCCTACACTACAACAAGCACAAAAACAACCTTCAACCCAAGAAATTCAAGGTATTTTGATAAAATATGATGTTATGTAATACAGTTAACTCCTGCTAAGGGAATTTGCAGTTTATAACAGGATTTCACTTACTTGTCAAGATTGCAAAGGAAACTATTTCGGAAATTTCTTCTAATTTTTTGGGGGGAATTTACAAACATTTCATTCAAGTCTTCTGATTTTTTTCCCATTGTGAGTGGGAATTCTGCACTTTCCTACTGAATTGGTTGTGCATGGAGTGGTTGGCGGGTTAAGCAATCATGGTGAATCTCAAAAGTCAAGCCCACTCCTATCTTTAGCATGTTTTTATCCCATGAATAACAGTTCATAGAGGACTGTTTCCACCATTAGGTCAGATTACAAATAATCTTGGTGTCACATCCACTTCCTTTGCTGAGATATCTGTACATTTTCCTTTTTCACCTTGCACATGAACTCACTAAGGCAGAGAAAACCACATTTCTTCATTTTTCAAAGAAATTGTTGCTTGGTATCTTTCACAGACTAACCTAATCAAAAATTGTAAGAATTCACATTTAGTTGATCCGGATTTGATCATTCCTCCATTTATCAACATTAGTAGCCTCATTGATCTCAAATGGAGCTGTCTTGTCTCGTGCATTCCAAGCCATCTCTATGACCCTTAGTCCTCCTTTCTTTTGGTCAAATACTGCAGTACATTTAATGCTCATTATTTACATCCTAATGGCCATGTTAATCAAAGAGTTTTTTTGAAAAAAAGTTCCATCTTTTCCTCATCAACAATAAATCTTGTACCTATGTAATAAGATATGGATAAGAAAATTTCTTGTATCTAATACAAGAATTGTGTATTGATGTAAAAGTCTCTCTCAATATGGGAGCAACATTCAAGCTTGGATGAATTGGATGGATTTGAGGTTGACAGGACAAATGTTGAAATACTTTGAAGCTCCTGGACATTGGACCATGCGATGATAAAATCTGGAGTTTTTGTCTGTGATCACTGATGACTTGAATTCATGACTTTTGAATTATAGCAGGGAAACGTGCTTCCAAGACAATTGAAAATATTTCATCCTGTCACTTTAGACTTAAAATGTGAAGTTCTTGAAACTAGCATAAAGAATATAATAATCCAAGGTATAGAATTGCATGGTAGGATTGTAAGAAAAAGCGAATGAATAATCTTTTCTAAGTCATTATCCTTTGAAGTGGCTGGTTGAAATGCCATTTGAATTTTACCTTCTCTTTTGAATGGCAGCAGTGAGGACTGGGACAATACCAATTCCCACACCACGACAAGCACAAAGACAACTTTTGATCCAAGCTCCAGGTATTGCACAGTACAATTAAGATAGTCATATCAAATAATATCCAATATAGTAAATTCATGGTTTATCAATCTTTAGACTGGCTTTTTATACAATTTCAATTCAATAAAACTAAAAATCAGAAGAAAAAGAGAGGCTGACCATTTTCTCGCATCTGTTTTAGCAAACAGCTAAGCAAAACTACCCCTTTGTTTCCTTTCTAAGTGTTTCTCTCCACCTCAAAATCCATGAAGTTTTAACTGAATATAATATTGCTCTCTGGGTATTGGCATTATCTTTAGCAGGGGACCAACTGCTTAATTGTTAAGTTATGACTGAGTATCATCAGACAATTTGATTATGGAGGGCCACAAAGTCAAACTTAAAAACATATTCACTCATGTCTACTGTTCAGCAGACATACTGGTTAATCCAATAAAGTAAGAGTCAGTTCAGATTATAAACTCTGGAAGAACTTTTCCCTCACAATCTCCATAGTGCTGGGCCAATGTTAGTCCTTAGCAGCTTTTCTGGTTGAGAGTTCCTGATTATTTTTAAAGGTAGCCTCTCTCAGGAATAGGTGAGAAATAAACGTTTGTTTAGATTAGATTTTGATTGCTGAGGCTGACGTCTTGAGGATTGCAAGAAATCTAGCCTCATCTAAATAATTGTGGCCAGATGCCAATAACCTTCATCTATACAGACTGCTCACCCAATGAAAGAATCAACATTTGGCTGGCCGGTTTCATGAATAGGCTACCAATGCCCCCCATGGATACCAGCATGGATTCTGCTAGAGATTTCCACAAGAAGACAATTAATCTATGAAGGCAGGTTAACACAAACAATATTGTGCGAACATATACAATACTTATCTTCCTTGTGTTAATGGAATGTCTCGTGTCCATTCATCACTTGAGGTGAGATTAGTTAAGATACTCCTGACCCCAACCATAGACTCTCCTTTTCCATGATATGAGGCATAATTTTCTTTTTTCTTTGTCAAATCTTTCTTCAGTGCTGCAGAATACTTCCCTGGTCTATTCTTTTGAGTGGCCAAACTTGTTCCACTTGTTTGTCAAAAACATACCTTAATTTTCTAAAAATCACAAGTCAATCCAATACTATTCTATATCTCGTGGCATTTCTCATCAGCAAACTCTTCCTTCTCTCCAATGCAAATAGGAGTGCAGGAACAGAGAATTAAAAAGGATGTGCTTTTGCTGTTTTTGCTACTTTGTTGAAAGTGCACCTTGTCTCTTTTTTTTACATTGAGTTGCAGCATATAGTGGGCACATACTGACAGGAAAATAATGCAGATGCTGGAAATCTGAATCAAGAACACAGTGCTGGAGACACATAGCAGGCCTGGGAACATCTGTAGTCAAAAATTCAGAGTTAACATTTCAAGTTCAGTGACCCCTCATTAGGTCTGACAAAAGGTTACTAGTTTCAATATCAACCCTGTTTTGGCTCTACAGATGCTGCCAGCCCTTATTATCTGTTTTTGTTTCAGATAGCAACATGATGTTGCTGGATTAGTAATCCAACCAAAGACATGGGTGGAAACTAAATTCGAGTGACATTTTAGAATATGAAGCTAGTACTGGCAATGTCTGGATTCAAAAAACTATCTAAAGGAAACTTTAAAAGGTCCTGCCCATGCCCTACACACCACTTTATGTTCCACATGTGTAATCCAATACACTTCCATAGTCCCATGCCACTTCCAGACATCTTATTCCTCAAAAATGGCTTCCTTGTCTTCTCCATACCCTCCATAGACCTTTCATTACCATTCAGCACGTAATCAGTATGTACAGAAACACGAGGCTTAGAATATAAATGGCAAGAGTTGAAATGATGAGAAAAAAAATTGAAATTTGCTTTGTCAAAAACCTGCTGTTCCTACTGCACTGTAAATTTGTCCATCAGACCAGGCCGATATATTATAAGTCAAGGAGTTTTAGCCAGCTCACACCTCTTAACACTGATAAACTAGAACCCAGAAGAAAAACGTAGCATAACCTATTAAAGATATCAAATAAGCAAGTAAACACTTCCTTGAGTTATCCTATCAGACCTCTGCTGAGCTAATACATTTGTAAATCTTGGAGATCAGCCAGTCATAGTAAATTCATCTAGGATCTACATTAACAGAAAGAGTGGCCAGATATTTGGTTTTCCCCTAAGAGCAGGTCTATGAGGGGTGAGGGCTAAAGGGTGTGATAGCTTCCAACACACTGGGCCAATGTCCCAGAAAACTAACCCGACTCCATGATCTGTATCTGGGGTCATTGGGCTGAATTCTCTCCTGCCCTACCCACCTCTCCTTGGATTGAAGATTGCCATAACAGGGAGGTGGTCTGCTAAATCCTAAAATTTCCCACCTTGAACTACCCACTTTGTGGGTGTAAATTCAGCCCATTCAGTTCATGTTGACAGTTCCCATTGAAGCTTCCTTGTATCCTTAAAACTACACAGAGGTAGGAAATTTGGCATCTAAAACAAACACAAATGGTGTGAGTTCTTCCTCCAGTGTTCAAGAGTTATCATTGAATCAGTTTGGCCTTTGCTCGTATGGGTTACGTCAAGTGTACAGCACAGAAACAGGCCCTTCAGCCTTTCTTACCCTACTTCATCTAAATCTACCTTCCTCGCTTGCTGAGTTTGAGTGTTTTGAGTTTGAAAAGTTGCACACCACAACTGTGTTGATGTAGAAAATATGAGAGATAGGAACGGCACTAGGCAAATATGATTCTTAAATCTGTAGTTGTGTCATAAATGTGGTAGGCTCACTAAGCATAAATAAGGATAATTTATCTTTTTTTGTTGTCATTATATCTCTATTATTTGCCGTCCACTAACTTTATATTTACCATTTTACACAACTGGTCAAAAGTAACATTGACCTTCAGTTGATGTTAGTCGATCCGTTAACAATTCACATGGTACAACACAGTGCATATTCATCAATTCATGGTAATTATGTTCAGTGAGATGTATAAATCCAGTTAATATAAATATCTTCATGGATGTTTGTCTCTTTCAGCTCTAATTCACTTAATGATAAAAGTCCAGTCGTAGAACTAGAACGGTATGATTCTCGATCATCCTACAAGGAAAACAGGTATTTTTATGAACTTCTTTCACCCCATGTCCTTCACCATATCTCTCAGACACACACTTGCTCGCTCGCTCACACACTCACTCACTCTCCAAAGTCCTGCTTGTGTCTCATCATCCTATATTATGTGAGCTTATTGTAAAGACAGGATTATTCCCATTACCTCTCCATGGTGGAATAGTCTGATTTGACTCACCGGCTGGACACACATACGCGAAGAATGTTTAATGGACTGCTAATAAAACCAATGACATTGATTTGTTTCGCACAAGTTCAACTGACAGCCTTTTGCCTCAGACATTAGGATCAAATTAACTTCTTATCAATGGCAAATGCATAAATAGAATTTGGGCCCATTCTATAATGGCTCTGTTGATAAATCATATCTCATTATTTAGGGTTGATATGACCAACAGGTTGGTCTTTCTGTGGTAGTAAATGTTATTAACATTTCCTGTTGCTGATGTGGTGCTTCGCATTATGGGCGCTCACAGCAGCAACTCAGGTGCAGAGGATTCTTAAACATTTGTTATCATTTTAGTATGGCTGCTATTCAGAACACTTGTACGTACCAACGAATCCCAGATGCACAAAGCATTTTTAGTGTAGACAGAAGTCCCATGCACCTGTGTGCTTTTGCTAATGTGAAGATAGACAGCTAAGCAGTACCACAGTTGATCAATAGTAATAGTTGGTAGAAGGAAAGTAATGAATCAATGTAACGAGTGGCAAATGACAAAGATGAATGTCAGTGCAAAAGACGCAATTTAATATAACAGTCCATATGTTGAGGGAAGGTTGTGCTATACTGATTTAACCAAAGGTAAGGAGAGGGGAAGAGTGTTAAGCATACAAGGAAGAATGGTACATTTTCAGACCCAGACGATTATAAATCTACTCTATAGACATTATCATATTTGACCATATGTCTGGGAAGCTTAGATAACAAGGAGCAGGGCTGGATGAACACAGCAGGCCAAGCAGCATCATAGGAGCAGAAAGGCTGACGTTTCGGGCCTAGACCCTTCATCAGAAAAGGGGGAGGGG